TAGTTATTGCATTGTTTGATAATTGTTTAAACGTATAAAAAGCACGAAACATCCGTGACCCAAATAGGCAGCAATAATACCAAAACTGCAACTCAGCGAACCTACGACCTTGGTACTAGAACCGGCGTTGAAAGTACGACTACAATAAAACAAGAAGAAACGACGGACGCCGGGTAGTTGGTAGTCAGTAGTCAGTCAGTAGTAGTGATAACGGGGGCGCCGTAACTGCTCGCCCAGGGCAGTGATCGCCGGACGCGATAGCGTCCAGTACGCGAACAGTCGGTGATTTTCCGGGGGCCGGGTATCTTCTGTCAGAATTCGCGTGTAGTCCGGTTATTGTGGCAGCTCGAAAGTTCGCAACCCTCAACTGACCGAGTTCCAGAAGACTGAACGTGTCGTGGTTGAAGCCCTAATATACACATAAGGTAACAGATTTCTTATACTAACCTGTGTAACTATATTTGTACCTCTGTCAACCTTTCACTATCTTGCTACATCGTCTCCCGACGCGCAGAATACCGTGTTAACGATTGTATTAGGAACTTCAGGGTAGATTCAATATATTGTTGACTCTAATATGGTTTTTTTTTCTAATGTTCCTTCGTCCGACTCACTAGAGACTAGGAGAACACGAGAATTCTGCGTATACATATCTCCGGCTTCAAAAGTAAGCCCATAACCTCTACTCTTTACAGGACCTGAGACCGAGGAGTTCTTACCCCTATCCCGAAATCCCTTATCTTCTCGTAAATCCACGAAGACGAGCCAGCCCTCCAGACCAGTGTGACCAGTATTCCTTGCAGCCGCTCGCAGGGTTAGCATCCCTTGAGGATCTATTGTATTTTACATTTGGTGACAGTCTTTACAGGACCCTATACATAGAAGTCCTTAATCCCTCTCCTCTTATCGTAAATCTGTAGCAGATTATTACATTGGTGACAGCGGAGTCGCCTCCTTAGATTATTACATTGGTGACAGCGGTCCCGGTTTGGGGGAATTTCGGTAAATAGGGATAATTAAGTCACTTCTTCAGTATCCTTGTAAACTTTTGCAAGTTTTGTAGCTATAAGAAGCCTTCATCGTTTCATTTCGCCAGTGACATTCCAATTTTTTCTTCTCTTTTCTAAGACGACAACAGATTAAAGAAACAGTGAGGTATCCAGTAAATATTGTGTGGAGTGCAGGACTCCCTTTTCTGGAAGAAAATCCTTTTTCTCTCTTTGTTATATAAACTTGTTAGTGGTTTTACACAAATTATTCGTATATAGTAGATTTTTTTTTGTCTTGTATCACTAGAAAATGACCTCATATCAATTTTAGGATATATGTGAAGAGATGACAAGTACAAATTTTTTCAAAAAAAATACATACTAACACATTATATGATGTTCTCTATATAATCGTTTTTTTAATTACCATAATATTGCACAAAAAAAAACATATAAACTATACTGTCTAACAGAATATATGATATAAGATGGTATAACAGAGATTATTAATTATCAGTCGAATATAGGAATTGAATTATTCAAAGAAATAATAAATATATTGTTTACTAACTAGTTGAATATAAAGAATTTAAGTTAGTAGGTCAAGATCAAGTTCATTTGAGTGTATTGCTTTCAAAAAGCGCAAAATATAAATTCTTTGAGTATTATTTTACTAACTGTTTACATATTATCAAATTCTTTTGTTTAATGTATCAAGTGAAAGTGAAATATGATACTATTTGCTCGACGTGTTTGAAAAATATTAAACGCGCTTGGTCAAGTAATATACACTGAAAAATTAGATATGATTTTGGTTGACTAATTAATTAAAGTAATTTGGGATATTTGGATTTATAAATAGCGTAGCATTTGTAAAAAGGAAAAGAATTTAATAGAACTTAATTTTTCAAAAAAAAATACCAACACCTTATTTGATATTTGACTATTGATTGATTGATCGATTATTATTTGATTTGATTATTTGATATTTCCTACAGATTTTGTTTTAAGCTCGGCAGCGTATATTTCTAAGTTCTTTTATTTTTTTTTTTAACAAAAATCTAATTCTTTATACAATTGTTGGTTAACTTCATAAATTGGCACATCATACTGAGATGGACATATAAAAGAGGGAAAAGAATTTAATGGAGCTTTGGAAGATAATTGACCGTGGCGTCAGAAAATCTTTTTCAATATTTTGGAATGATTTCCACGAACATATGAGTTCGGAAATGGATGCATCGCAAGGAAAATGCATAGAAGCACGTAAAGTGGTTCTTTGGGCTTTGGCCCATAGTTAAAGTAAATTTAAATGGGATGTAGCGTCAGAAAATCTTTTTCACTATTTTGGAATGATTTCCACGAACATATGAGTTCGGGAATGGATCCATTATGGAACAGTCAAGATTTAGTAGACGTGGAGCTTGCATTGCAAGGAAAATGCATAGAAGCACGTAAAGTGGTTCTTTGGGCTGTGGCCCATATTTAAAGAAAATTTGAGTCGAATCGTTGTCAGCGTCCTAGAGTGATTTTGACAAACGTAACTTGCGAGACACTAGGAGGCTTGCTGCAGTTTATGTACCATGGAAAAGTGCAAATTGGACAGGAAGACCTAAGGGCCTTCACTGAAGCGGCCGAATCGTTGCAAAGGCAAGGACTCGCTAGAGACGGAAAAGTTATAATAGTTACTATCGTTTAAAGTAACTTGCTACAGTTTATGTACCAGGGAAAAGTGCAAATTGGACAGGAAGACCTAAGGGCCTTCACTGAAGCACTGAATCGTTGCTAAGGCAAGGACTCGCTGGAGACGGAAAATTCATAGTTAGTTACTATCGTTTAAAGTAACAATATAAAAACTTTGGACGAAGAAGGTACTCTGAATGTAGAAGAGTTTAAGCCAGTTTCTTTGCTTGAGACAAAGAAGCAGAACCATAAAGAAGAAAGGATAATCAGTGGACACAGGTGGGATGCCACAGAAATAGAGGCATATCTCACACAGCATGTGAAGGTGAATACAGTGCCAGAAGTATACTTTTTTTACAGGAATGTGGGCAAGCTGTATATGGTTCGACCTTAAGGGGTGAAACTTACGTCAAGTAGGAGGCTGCTAAGGGGATAAGCTAGGGTGGTACTAGAATCCCAACCCGCTAAGAGTCCCGCGGCTCCAGCACGACAATACAGTATCTACAGGATGTAATAAAAACGCGAAACGAATCTGGAATTGTGATTTTCGTTAATAAAGTAAATGGAAAAGTGAAGAAAAAGAAGAGTTATAATTAATACCTTCCACATGTTACAGGAAGGATATGGAAGAATAAATAGGATATACAGTACAGAAATATAGGAGAAGATTATTTCTGGAACGAATTATGAAGAAGTATTGAGAAATATGTGAAATGTGAAGAGATGCGACGACTGCCAGGGGCATTAGCACCCAATATAGTACAGAAATATAAGAGAATATTATTTCTGGAGCGAATTAGGAAGAAATGTTGGGACATATGTGAAATGTGAAGAGATGCGACGACTGCCAGGGGCATTAGCACTCAATATAGTACAGAAATATAAGAGAATATTATTTCTGGAGCGAATTAGGAAGAAATTTTGGGAAATATGTGAAATGTGAAGAGATGCGACGACTGCCAGGGGCATAGCATTCAATTAGAAACAGGAAACCATACGCACGGACAGGGATGAAAATGAAAACAGTGTATAGAAAAACACATGAGAATATAAATATATAAAATTTGAATTTGAGAGAATTTGAAGATGGAGACAAGGTATATCTGAGAGACTTAAGTAGCACGACAAGTCTTTCAAAGAAGTTACAGAAAAATGGTACTATCCATACCATTTCAAATTATGGAAAAGTTGGACCAGTGACGTATGCAGTAAGTACAAAAAAGGAAAAAAAATAGACAGGTAGTGTACGACAATACTTTAAAGAAATATTACGAGAATAAAACAATTGATTATTCCACGGAGGAAGAAGAAGGAGTTGACCCTTCAAAGGTGTCAACACTGCCATTATGGGGACCAGGAACCCCAATTAACAAACCGCAGAGAAGAAGAAAAGGAAGTCAGGGAGACACCAGCCAACCAAAAAGATCAGAACGAATAAAGAATAGACTAGGCAAGATGCCCGAAAGAAAATGTTGCGGCATATTCCACAAAACGAAAAAGAAAGGATGGAACACGTACAACAGAATAATAAACAGGAATGAGACAGCAATAATAACACAGAGCGATGAGGACACAGACATGTTTTTCGACGCAATAGATCAATAGTGAAAAATATCAAAACAACTATAAGAAAAGTTGAAAGCTTGGTATTACAAGAGACGGCCGCTCGAATAATACTAAAATTTTAACAAGGAACTCAATAAAGTTAGAAATCCGATTTAAAGATATACCATTACAAGTATAAGTTAAAAGTAAAAAAAAAATATATTATTAACGTAATATATTCAGCTTATTATCTCGCTCATCTGATGTGTTCATTATAAATAAACTTTTGCCCAACAGTAGTACACAACGTTAATAGGTAAGAAAATCCGCCAAAAACAAG